ACTCCTGCTTAGACTCTATCAAAACCTGGATGGCTGGGAGCTTTCTACAGCTGAATGAATATAAGACTGAGATCCTCATCTGTTCCCAAGCTGGTTCCCAAAGTCAGAGACTCTCTTGGTCAGCTTTTTTCCACAGTAATCTTGGAGTGACCTTTGTCCCAGTTCTCACCCCGGATTCTCATCCCAGTTCTCTTGTTTGCTCCTCCTTCTTTCATCTCAGGAATATTTCTAAGCTGATTCGAATTCTGTCCCTCCCTTATGTATTGTTGTTAGAAAACAGTGACAATTTATCCTTTTTAATTGTAGATACTTGGGTTATAATCATGTTCCTTATAAATACTATCAGTAGATACTTTAACCAAGGCAGTCTGTTATGCATTTCCTGCAAACTGGTTTGATTTTGAGCCACTTGTAGCTGGGGTAAGTTGTCACCAGTTGTTTAAATAAAACAGAGGCAGAGTCAAGCAGACTTTTCAAAGAGTTTTTCAAATGTCAACGGAGGTGGACGACACATGTGCATTCAACAAATAAAATTACTAATATTAGTGTGCAAAAGAGTATATTTATTATATTATGAGAATTTAACTATCATTACATATTGTCATTGGCTGCAGGCACAATGGACTCCATTGTGGTGGTTTATGTGCAAGTATACCATCAGCACCCTCGCATTTATAAGACGAGTTTTGATTCGTCCACTGTGGAGACCATTACTGGCGAAAGGGTCCAAGTAATTTAAATAGACTTGCTCTGTGTGTACATGTATGTATGCATGCATGTGTGCAAGCACGTGTGTGTGTGTGTGTGTGTGTGTGTGTGTGTGTGTGTGTGTGTGTGTGTGTGTGTGTGTGTGTGTGTGTGTGTGTGTGTGTGTGTGTGTGTGTGTGTGAATGCACTGTGTAATGATGTGAAGATCAGCCAAAATGAAAGGGTGTAGCATGAATAAATATGTACAGATGCAGGGATATAAAGCTACAAAGATGTTTCCCTGCCTTTGCCAAAAAACAAAGGTTTAAGAAAAAGGGAAAGTTATTCTCAAGAGCAAAGAGTTGGGTTTTCTTCTATAGATTAATTTAATTCCCTTGAAAAATGTTAATAAATATAATTTACTCTGCTCTTGTTTTTCCTCCAGGAGCAGCTCCCTGCATTAAAGCTATCAGTCCCAGTGAGGGCTGGACTACGGGAGGCGCCACCGTCATCATCATAGGGGACAACTTTTTCGACGGCCTTCAGGTTATCTTCGGTACCATGCTGGTTTGGAGCGAGGTCAGTCACCGTTCTGTCTCAGTGTTGTTTCAATCCCTTGACTGTGTGCCTCGGCCCTCGGACCGTTGGAAGTAATTCAATATGAAAACATACTTCTCTCCACAGTCTGGCTCTTAACTGTGTGTGATCGAGTGTGTGTGTGTGTGTGTGTATGTTAATGTTTATCTAAGTGATGTTTACCTCCCTAATGAGCCTCCACCAACTGGCAACTAACCTCCCCTCGCTACCTTCCTCACCCACACTCCCGCTGCCTGCTTCTCTCAGAATACTGATCAGATCAGCACATTTTGATAGCCATCGGCTGAATGCTCTTTCACACATACACACACACACACACACACACACAGCTCACTATCATAGGTTTCCCCACTCCTCTACAGAATGTTTATTTGTCTTCTGACTCCACTCACCGTGTGTGCCGAGCGACCGTGGCTTCCTTCCAACAACAACAGCGTTGGTGTGTGTGTGTGTGTGTGTGTGTGTGTGTGTGTGTGTGTGTGTGTGTGTGTGTGTGTGTGTGTGTGTGTGTGTGTGTGTGTGTGTGTGTGTGTGTTAAGAGCTGAGGGGTTTGTTTACAGTGTTGAGAGCTGCACTTACACACACTAACATGTGTACAGAGTCTCAGTTCAGAATGACTCAGCTCTCTTAGCTGCAGATGGATTTTTGCCAACCAAATGTTTCATTTGCACTCAACCTGATCATTGATTCTGAAGGAAGAAATCTCAGTTTGAAAACATCTGTTTGGAGGACATGACTGAAAGTTTAACTTTTTCTTTTTTGTCTGCATCTTTTCTTCCTTCTTTTTTTATATTTACTTTTTTTAAAAACCTTTTATAAATAGTGAATATTTATCTAAATTTTAAACGTATAAAATGTATTACAGCTTAAAGGAGTGGTTTATTATTTTTGAAGGAAGGTGATGCGGAAAAGTTTCAAGCAAAGTTCAAACGACAGGACGATCTGCCAATTTTTGACACGCTTCACCCCTCCAACAATCTTAAAGTTGTGCACCATTACTGTAAGGATGATCTTATCAGATAATCATACCATGTGTGGTGTGTTACAAGCACTCTGGTTGGCTCGGAAAGACATCGGGACCAGTCTAAACATAAATCTGGGCTTTCAAACATGCTGGATTGTCTTGGTCTGATTTTCGGGGACAAACAAAAGTTGAATGTGACGTTCAGGCAATCAGGTAGCGAGGTGATGGGAGCACGCAGATTTCCTGTCTGAGCTGGGAATGTCTTTGAAATGTTTGTACAGTATATAGTTTCTGCCGAGTTGCTGCACACCACACACTGTATCAGACCAAAACTGATATATCCATAATTTTTTTCATCACCACGCGTGTAAACTCTCATCCTTTGAAAATCAACCAACAACTGGACAATCTTGCCGTGTGAACCAGGCTTTACCTGTTGTAGACAGGTCTTAGAATGACCTTCTTTGGAGAAACTGTTAGTTTCAAGCCGGCCACAAATTGTTTTAAAACTATTCCAAGCTTAAATATTTGGAAAAGTTAAGCAAAGTTAAGCAAATATTATTTTAAAACTTTCAAAATGGCATAAATTAGAGATTCCTTAGTTATTTCAGAAACATAACGCTCTACCCAGAGGCCAAATGTAGCTAGCTACTTATGCAATTGACCAGAGTTGTCTATGTAAATATTTGTAATGAAAACTATGCTAGTGCTAAAGCAAAAAAAGCTTAAAAAGTTTGCCTTAACTTCTAGAAATATTGTTTAGCAGAAACTTTTTATTTCTCGTTGACTCTTTTGTCTGGTCAGAAAGTTTTGGACAGAGAATTTCTGTTTCTACGAACTGAGGTTGTTCAAAGTGTGATCAACTGCAGGTTTTTTTGTCAGAAACACATTTCAAACACATCTGAATTATCTCTGTGGTGATAAAACCAATATTTTATCACAAACATAAAATACTTGTTTGTGTCTTTCTAACTCATTTAGAACTTTTCTCTGGATTTTCTATACCAAAGTGAAGAGGACTGGGCTAGACTTACTACAATTTGTAGTTTTTAAAACATTTATCATCACTTGACCAAATGTGTACTTTTCATAAGGCTTCTTCCTGTTAAAGGAGTGTTTTCCTCTCCACTGTCGCTACATGCTTGCTTAGGATTACATGTAATCTGATGGGTTTGCTCCTATCGGAAATGTTTAACTAATTTGCTCAAAGAACTCAATACAATGCACAGATAAGTACTTTCAACTGGATTATTTGCTTTGTAAAGTGCCTTGAGATGACTCTTGAGATGTGAATGGCGCTGTTTAAAGCGCAAGTCACCATAAATCCTTTTTTTTTTTTTGCTGATAAACTTTATAAATGAGTGTCTAATCATGCCGTTGACATGTGTAGCCAATAATTTGGCACTTTAGTGCATCTTAGTTTCATTTAAAATTTTTGCCTAAAACTGTCAGTGTTGATCACATTTTGTATGTAATCCAGCTGATAACGCCACACGCCATCCGGGTGCAGACGCCTCCCAGACACATCCCAGGGGTCGTAGAGGTCACTCTGTCCTACAAGTCTAAACAGTTCTGCAAAGGGACACCAGGGAGGTTCATATACACAGGTAGGTTCATGCATGTAACTCAATACTATTGGTTTTTTTAATCCACAGTGGTAGTTTTTCTTGGTCTGTGTGTGTGTGTGTGAGAGAGCAGCACCCACGAGTTTGCAGTTCACTCTCGGGCCAGACAGTGTTGAACTAATGACTGCAGATTAGTCAACATTAACGACCCACACTCGTTCGAATGTTGCCATAATCAGAGGCTCGTTAAAACAAGCTACAATTAAACAGTCTGCTCTTTAGAGCTCTGCATACTGAAACTATTAGTGAAATCATCCAGAACACCCAGTTTACTAACACACACACACATAAATGTACACATTGTTGAAAAGGAGTGTGTGTGACTTTTGACCAAACTGTTGACTGTGAATGAGCCTTTTCCTGCTAAGTTGGGTAAAGCGGAAAAGGAAAAGAAGGAAAAGCATACAGAGTGAGTGTGTGTGTGTGTGCGTGCTGTGTGCAAGAGTGTGTGATTCTAATTTGCACATTTATGTGAAAATGGATAGAGGTGATGTGATGTCTGGTATTGATCCACTGCTCGACATGGCTCTATCACACTGTAACGATGGCGTCATTAACAGAGGAACAAAAAAAGAAAAAAAAAATGGCAGCTTTATAAATTCCTTGAGAGAGATGATGTTTGATGACACTGATTATTAACCAGAGATAATGATGAGGATTTAAGCTGAGGTAATATGTCCGCTGTTTAGCTATGCCGTCAAATCCCGCTTTTGCCATGATTATATAACCATATATATATATACATATCTATGGTTGCGTGGTGCAGTCGGCATTTCCGTCTTTTTTCTGATTGATTATTTTTGAGCTGGCTAGTCCCGCCCCTCATATGCCTCTCTTCTTGTGGGTTACCAGACTCCTTCTCTGTGCAGAATTAAACAGAGAACGAGTCTGGCAGGCCAGGCTAGGAGGAGCTAGCATAAATCGCTATTGATTTATATCAGTTTTGGTGTAGGTACCGGTGTCGGTACAGGATCTGCTCGGGTGCAGGATCGGCTCGGGGTCCTACTGCCGATGACATCAAAGTAGTTGACTGGCTGAACATGAAGCTTACGGAAGTTACGTTATAACGTTATGATTTTGGTCAGAACAAATTTGTGGTCATAATCTTAGCGGTTGTAGTCCTGTAGTCCAAAAATCAACACTTTTTGGAGAAAATATGTTTGAATTTCTAAAGGAAATGTCAAATATAAGCAAATGATAAACGGTGACCCTCAAAAGCTCTTGATGTTGATGAAATGGGGCAAAATAAAATATAAGAACTTTATTGAAAGACACCAAGCAATATTTTGAGTCAAAGAATGTATTTAGATAACAACTAAGGAAATATACAGATGAACTCCACTTTAATACAAACAGATATGGCTTCACACATAAGAACTGTTCTATTTTTTGTCAGTCCGATGTTGGTTTTATGCAGTTTCACATTCTTTACAAAACAAAGATAATATGGTGTTTTATTAACAAATTACAATTATAAAGAAAACATTTAGGTGCTAACAAACAAGATTTTATTAACAAAACTGCTGATGTCTTTCCAAAACGTATGTGTGAAAGCCGAGTAGATTTGTTGTAATGTGACGTCATCGGCCCCGAGCCGATCCTGCACCCGAGCAGATCCTGTACCGACACCGGATCTGCTTGGGGTCTTGCGACTGCCGATGACATCGCACTAGATGATTGGCTGAATGTACGATTTATGAAAGTTGCGTTATTATGTTTGTAAAAGTTACATTAGCACGTTGGCACTGAGAATTTTGATTGGTCCAGACAAATTTGTGGTCGTAGTCCTGTACTCCAAAAAACAATTTCCGGGGAAAATTTTTATATTGCCAAAGCAAATGTAAAATAAAAACAAAAATATTAATATAAATGGAGACCCTCTCTGATTTTGATTAAATGGGGCAACACTTAAAAGAATTTTATTGACCAAATAGAAAGTATACAACATTTTGAATGAATGAATGAACGAACGAATGAACGAACGAACGAATTAATTAATTCATTTACATAAGAGCTAACGACATATACAGAAGAAGTCTGTCAAAAATGGGATGCAATGTATTTTGGCCAAGTGGATTTTGCCGTAATATGACATCATCGGCAAGCGCAGGACCCCGAGCCAATCTGGGACCACGAGCAGATCCGGTACCTACATTGTTAGTTAGAATGTGTTGGTATAGCGGATTTCGGTAAAAAAGCTGGTATCGAGCCTCCCTCGTTTTTTATGATTCTGAAGAAAGAATCTCAGAAACAGAAGCCTTTTTATGATATGGAGCACTCAGTACAGTTAAGTCAGATTTTCTCTGTGAACTGAGAAGTAAAAATGTTTCCTTTGTTTGAAAATAAGGACAACCAGAAAGATACGAGTTAGCTTTAGAAGACAATGAAAAAACTATCAAAGCAAATCAATAGAAATGAAACTATGGGACTCATAATGATGATTTGTGTTTGAGTCTGACTTAAATCATAAATCTGATGACTTAGACTTGAAAAGTCAAGGAAGACAGAATTACTGTTGAACTTAAAAGACTCTATTTGAAGCATTAGACTTGATTAATTTTATCTAATGGTTTAAAGCTGTCATCTTTCTAATTACTGGTATTTATTTTCATAAAACCTTCATTTCCTTTAAACTAACTCTCACAGTTCCAGTTCCAAAACATTATCCAATTTTCATTTTAAAAATCTGTATTTATTTAAATTTTGGAACTCAGATCTTGGACTTAATTGAAAACTATGGTGAATCATGTCAAAACTTTATTTCTTTTAAAACACAAACGAATCAAAAGCCAAACAATGCTAACAAATTGCAGAAATGGTTTTAAGCCCACAAGAATAAATCAACCCCATACTGTTGTTTTCATTAGATCATGTGTGTTGTGAGGATTTGTTGGCGTTGTGTTTGAATGATGCAAATCTATCCAACATTTGTTCTTCAGTCAAAACATCTTTAGTTTGACCCTCAGGCAAGCCGGCAACTAATTGGTCCGTCTGGCATTTAACTCTTCATCCTATTGGGCGAGGATGACCCCTGATGACCCAACGATTGGCTGATCGCTTCAACATGTGACCCAGGAAACCCGATCTGTTACTGTGGTTGCGTGACCCTGCCTCGAGGTTGACTAAATTGTGGAAGTTGCTGGTGAGAGGTCCCAGCAGCGAACACTGATTGGCTGGTGTGGTTTTTCCAAATGCTTAGGTTGCCTCTGGGTGTGAGGACTGAGCAATTTTACACACACAGACAAACACAAAAACAACACACATGCAAACACACACAACGCCACACTTGCACGGGGTCATGTCTTAACACAAGTTACCGCACAGACTTTCAAACAGGGGCAGGAGTTGAAAGTAATTGTAAATCAGAGTGATGCGAAGCAAAGATGGTGAATAGTCTGGTTAACAGATGGTACACACGATCCATAAACACACACACACACACGCATGGTGCCGTATGGCTGCTTCATCTGCCTGATGGGGTAAATTAACATTCTCGACATCACACACTCCTGTAAACACACAACGGTGCAAAGTGACAATCAATAAATGCTCACACACACACACACACACACACTAGCATTATTAATACTCATACATGCACACACACATAAAAGATATGGAGTTGATTTATCATCGGGGCAGCTGCAACAGGAAATCTATAGTCCAGCTGTGGAAAAGAAACTTTTAGTAATAAAAGCTGTTTTTAATTTGTGCGTCTTTTCCAAGGATTTGCTGTAAAGTTCAGTTTTCTGATCACAAAACGTCTAATAAACAGACAGAAACGACAGAATAAGAAAGATGCAAAAGCAAGTAGGAGTGTGGACTTCTAAAACTAAATTTTAAGTATTGATCCTCACACACGCACACACACACACACACACACACACACACACACACACACACACACACACACACACACACACACACACACACGTACACACATATATGCATCCATGTAAGGCAGCCATGGAGAAGACAGGCTGGGGAGAAAGAGATCTCATCTCATCTCATAAGAGGAAGAATAAAGCAATAATTCAGTGGTATTGAACTGAAGGCTGGCCGGTGAATCGATTTCACCACACCTCCTCTCCTCTTCTTCCTCCTCCTTTTTCTCTTTTTACATCATCCCTCTCATCCATTCACCCATCCAACTTCACCCTCCTTCTTTCTCCTCCCGTTGTTTCCCCTCACACGTGAATTCCTTTGTTTCAGCTCTCCCTAAAATGATGAGAAAAATTGTACAAAATATTTGGCGTTATACATTTGATCTCTCTTTGCTACTTTTCTTTCTCTCTGTCTTCCTCCCTTGTTCACATTTTATTGCGAAACAGGAGTGGATGGTGTGTCCTCATGAAACTTCAATGAGTATTGATCTGCTGGCACTCTGGAGGGAAGGATGGGGCAGGAGGAGGAGGAGTGATGGAAGAACGGAGGGATGGGTGAAAGTGGCAGAGGGTGTAGTTAAAGAGGAAAGAGATGATGCAGAAGTCAGGGATGGAGGGGGTGTTCAAAGCTGAGCCAGAGGGATTCCTGGTGAGAGGGTTTCAGTGACAGAATGCGTGAGGCAGATTCATATTTCTGCTGAATGGTCCTTGTTTGGTTTCAGGGTCTTGAGAAGAAGCAGAGACGATTTATTTAGGAGCGGCTTTCTGCATTGTGCTGCAGAAGAACAGTCCAAAAATAGTGAATATTTTGGTGAAACATCTGCTTTTCATTTGTTTGAACTTGCAAAACAAGCTCCTTTTTTGTAATATCAGAACCAGCATGCATTACGATTTATGCGTGTTCTGTTCTGTAAAACATTCTGTAAATCCATAAACACACAGCATCGTTTTGCTTTCAAAGAAAAAGAAGTTTCATCGATAAGGAGTCGAATGACGATGCCTCAGGCTTCCCATCGACACATGGAGCTTTTGCTAAGAAAAAAATGAATTTTTACAAAATGTGTTCCAAAGTTTTGGGATATTGGTTTGTATTCTCAC